TGAAATATGTGTCAAACATGTGAAATGAAATGTTATTTGCAATGCATAAAAACATATTTTAATATGTCAAGAGTTTTATTGTGTTAGGAGTTTTATGCTCATGAAGTTATATTAGAGCTTCTAAGCACAGGAATCGTAGTTTAGAGCTTCTGTGAACAGTAGCACAGAAACACTTAGTGCAACTAAGCAAATGAAGATAATGCAAGCCCACAAATCCTAAAAACATTCTTTCCCTGTAAGAGAAAGTTGGATTATTCAATGTTAGGACTAAATCTTGCCCTCATGATATATGTTTCTAACATATGAAATGAAATGTTATTTGCAATGCATAATGACATATTTTATGTGTCAGGAGTTTTATTGTGTTAGGAGTTTTATGCTCATGAACTTATATTAGAGCTTCAAAGCACAAGAAGCTTAGTTTAGAGCTTCTGTGAACAATAACACTATGTTAGTGCAACTAAGCAAATGAAGAGAATGCAAATCCTCAAATGATTAAAACCTTCTTTCTCTTTAAGTGAAAGTTGGATTATGCAATGTTAAGATTAAAGTTTGCCCATTTGAAAAATGTTTCTAACATGTGAAAAGAAATGTTATTTGCAATGTCTAAAGACAGAATTTATTGTGTTAGGAGTTTTATGCTCATGAAGTTATGATAGAGCTTCTAAGCACAGGAATCTTAGTTTAGAGCTTCTGTGAACAGTACCTCTATGTTAGTTCAACTAAGCTAATGAAGAGAATGCAAGCCCACAAATGCTAAAAAATATCTTGCTCTGTAAGAGAATGTTGGATTATGCAATGTTAAGACAAAAGCTTGCCCATTTGAAATATGTTTCTAACATGTGAAAATAAATGCTATTTGCAATGCATAAAGACAGAAATTATTGTGTTAGGGGTTTTATGCTCATGAAGTCATGTTAGAGCTTCTTAGCTCAGGAATCTTAGTTTAGAGCTTCTGTGAACAGTAACTCTATGTTAGTTCAACTAAACTAATGAAGAGAATGCAAGCCCACAAATGCTAAAAAATATCTTGCTCTGTAAGAGAATGTTGGATTATGCAATGTTAAGACAAAAGCTTGCCCATTTGAAATATGTTTCTAACATGTGAAATGAAATGTTATTTGCGATGCATAATGACATATTTTAATGTGTCAGGAGTTTTATTGTGTTAGGAGTTTTATGCTCATTATGTTAGAACTTCAAAGCAAAAGAAGTTCATTTTAGAGCTTCTGTGAATAGAAACACTATGTTTGTGCAACTAAGCAAATGAAGAGAATGCAAGCCCACAAATGCTAAAAACATTATTTCACTGTTAGAGAAAGTTGTATTATGCAATGTTAGGACTAAATCTTTTGAAATTGTTTTTCAACAGGGAAAGAGACGTGTGCGTGTGTGTGTGTGTGTGTGTGTGTGTGTGTGTGATGCTGGTTTAAGCTGGTCCTTTGCTGGTTGTGCTGGTCCTTTGCTGGTCCTTTTGCTGGTTTGTGCTGGTCCTTTGCCAGCACATAACCTGCATAAACCAGCAAAAGGACCAGCATAAACCAGCAAAGGACCAGCATAAACCAGCAAAGGACCAGCATAAACCAGCAAAGGACCAGCATAAACCAGCAAAGGACAAGCACAACCAGCAAAGG